CGCATCGATTTCCCCCTTACTTGCACCTGGTGACCCTTCCTTGCTGAGCTGTACACAGGATTTGATTTGGTTTTAAATACCTGCGTCCTAATTAGCTTCACTTACAGTCAGTATTAGATTAGTTGCCAGTGAAAAACTGCTGGCTGGAACTGAAGTAATCACAGGACTGGCGGGGAGGGAGTCAATTTAGATGAAGACTCCCTCCCACCCACCACCCAGCCATGGCTCCTCTCCAACAGGCAAGAATTCCTCCCACCACCCTCTTGGTATTTCAGTTGCAGAGCTGGCAGCTGTGGACAAGCCAGACTGAGGGACACCTCTGCCTCTCCGCCCTCAATCTGGCCCACGAAGGGCCTGTCCTCTTGGGGAAAGGGCAGAACAATTGCTAGTTTGAGACGAGGGGAGAGCAAAGGTAGCTCAAAGCTGGGTCTCGTTTTATCAGCGGGCCTCAAGTTTGGGAGCGGAGAAGAGGCTGCGTAAACAGTTCCGATTTCAGCCCATTCTCTCTCCACACCCACAGAAAACTCAGAAAGCACCCAAACTAGAGTGCTTGTGAAGTCACCCTGCACAGCTGAAATGTTAGCTGGAGGTGAGTGGAGGGACCAGGGGAGCAGAGATGCCACTGTTCTGCAGCAGGCATAGGCAGCCTGCCAGCTCTGGCAGGAGGGAGCTCTTCAGACATTTGAAAAGCAAAAACAAAACCATCAGTAATTGTCCCCCTACTTAAAATACTGCTGCAATTTCCACTGGTCATTTGTAGTCTAACCCTCCCTTCTCTTCATCCTCCCCTTCCCTGTGAGCCCTAGAGACGCATTACACAACCCACTGCGGCTTCTACTTGTTTGAGGAAAGAACAAATAAATAAATCAAAAGTTAATCTCATTAAGTTTGGGGTCAGAGCTGGCTTTAGCTTCTGAGGCGCCTCGCTCAAAAGCCGAAGCTTGAATGGCAAATATTGAGTATGTGGAACTCCACACAAACACAAGGGCTGGGATTTTGTTTTAAACCTTCTGTGCTATGAAGGTCTCATTTACTTTCCTCTTAATAACAGAGAGAATGAAAAATATCCTAGTGGAGAACCCTGCGCAGCACAGAAAGTACAGGGGGGTGGAGAGGGGAGTCCAGCCCTTCTGCTATGCTCTGAGTAGGGCTCAGAGTAAATCTACAATACTACACTGCTCAATGATTGCAGGAGGGCTCAGGGTTCACAAAAACACATCGCTCCCAAAGCATTTGCACTCAGTCCTGCTCACATGAGTAAAATACTGGAACCTCTCAGGCCATTTGTGAAAGCCGCCCTTTGTCCCTGAAGTGCCCCATGCAGTCACAGTTACGCCTCAGCCTTATGAGTCATCCAGAGGGGCTCTATCCAGGCTGCTTGGCTCTTCAAAGGGAAAAAAGAAGTGGCTGGAGTATGGAAGTGGGAGCAAGGGACTCCTGAGTCCTAATCTCAGCTGTGACACCAACTTCCTCTGTGACCCTGGGCAGGTCACACGACCTCTCTAGCTGGGTCTCCACCTCTGTAAAATGGGGCTACTAATCCTTGCCTGCCTCATAGAGGTGTTTATGAGGCTTAGATAGTTAATGTTTGTAAAATACGCTGTGTTTGGTTATAGCATTTCTTACAATGAATAATTGGACAGTCGGCAAATCTCAACTGGACTGTAAGCTCCATGGGGCAGGATCGTTTTGGTTGGACCACGTACACTGACGGTACTGTATAGATAATACTCAATCTTGGGTTGCCTGCACAACAGGTACAAATTTTATACATTTTTGAAACCCAAAGGTCATTATGCAAAGACACCAAGTATTTGATCCTAATTTACCCCTTTCAGAGATGAGACTCCTTCCAACCATGTCATGGCCCCACAGTCCAACCAAACTTAATGAATTGATACACCACCTACAGCTGTCTTGCCAACATAGTCGTTCAGAGTGTGCTTACTGGAGCTGTGACTTGATTACCATGGCTTTGCCACTGCTGTCAGTAACCACCACCACCCACACCCGCTGCTTCCACACCAAGCTTTCCGCGAGCGCACCCTGTGAGAAGTGGACCCCCACGTGGGCTGAAGGAGGAAAAGGAGATACTGGCAGGAGAGGGAGCAGGGAGTGAAGGCGCTCACTGCTTTCGGTGAGGAAAATAAGGGCAAGGAAAAGAGAAGAGGGTCTAGGCACCTTCCTTATCTCCTCTCGTCACTTGACTTCCCATTTTTCGCCCTCTTGCCCTATCCCTTTGTTTCCTCTCTCTCTTGCTCTGTTCTTTTCCCTCCATGTTCCAAACAGCCTACGTTCTACACCACAAGCCTGACATGGAGGAGAGCAGGGCATGCTCTCCCACAGGGAAATCCGCTAATGCAGAGAGCAGGGCAGGGATGTGCCACTCAGATGGGGTCCCCCCGGTTAAAATTCCACCACCAAAGAGAAGGGAGGGTTGGAGTGACTTCCTGTCTCTGATGGAGTCACCCACTCACTGGACACTGCTCAGTCATCCCTGCCACAGGCTCAGAATAATACTTCTGAAGGGCAGACTTTTACTTATTTATTTTGCCTTTGGAACAGAACAGATTGTGCCCAGCAAGGACACCCTCGAAGTCTGTCCCAAGTGATGCTGCCTGTGTCCTGGGTTATAGTTCTGAGAATGTAACTTTGTTGAAAGGGGAAAACAAACACGTAGTTTCCCCAGCCCCTCACAGTTTTTCCCTGTGAGCAGAAACATCTGTGGTTACCTGGCTGCATTGGCAGCTAAAGGGGGAAACTTTTGTGGGAGCCCCTGCTAATAAATTGGCAGCCCGTTGCTGAATCAGGGCAGCTATGAATCTGGTAGCCAAACTTCTCCCCTAATACAGTACACACACTGTGCTCCCTGCATCACCCTGTCCCCTCCCCCCAAAGAGAGGGACCCTTTCATTTCTTTGCATGGTTTCCTTTTCCTTGGCATGAATTCAGAAAACCCAACCACGGTGGCACCTCCCAACCATTTCTACTTGCAAATCTTAGCAGCAAGCAGTTTGGAAATGATAAAAGATGCTCTTCTGTCACTCTGGTGATCATTGAGAGCCTTGCTAGTTGGGTGGGATTTTTTCCCTCCTGCTTGCAAGTCTCACACAAGCTGGATGGGAAATTAGCCAGCTCGGCACTTTTCCACCTTACTTTGCTTTTTCGGTTGATGTCATAATGTAACATATGGCATTGCACAGAGAAATAAGCACTGAAACCCAGGGAAACAAAAAAATTGCCCATGGGATTAAACTTCACAAAGGCCCCATGTGACTGAACCACTGACAGCCTGGGGAGTGGGGCTCAGTGGGGTAGACCATCACCTCTGAAGAGCCAGGTTCAAATCTTGACTTGCATCATAAATTAAACGCAGTTCAATGATTGGAGCCTAGTATCTCTCTCCACCAGCCTTCATATGTCACTCACTCATCTTAGACAACCTAAGTAAGGTTTTCAGAGCAGAGACTGTCATCCTGTGTGTCTGTACATGCCTCCCTCAGGAGAGGCCAAAGGCTGGAATAGCAGCGAAGTAGGTGTCAGGACTGAGGTGAATTGGTAAAGCTGTGTCGGCGCTCGGGACTATAATAGCAGCGGGTAATGAAGGTCAGGACTGAGGTGTTACAGGAAGACTTGTGTGCATAGAGCAGCAGGGCAAAGTAGATTCTCAGTGGATGCTATTCCAGGCCTCTAGCCCGGGAGATGAATCTATTATTTGTGATCCCTTGAATTAACACAGTTAAATCTCTGGTCACATCTGAGTGGGTGTTTGGCCTTTCCCAACAACCTACTGTGCTACCTGATAGACTGCGCTGCTAAATGGGTTTGGGGTCAGATCGTTTGAGGGGCAAAAGAGCAGCAGTGCTAGCAAGAAGGGAGATCAGTGAAGGGGTTGGAGGAAGCTGTTGACCTAACTCAAACTTACCCAATATTCAGAGGTATCCCTTGTTCCAGGGTGAAGATGATCAACTTTTTGGCATATTTTATGCCATCCCTCTGGTTGGATTGAAGGAAAGCCTATGTCTACATGCCCAGAGAGCCTCCTGCACTTCTACGCTGATTTTCATTTCAAAGTGCTTTATAACGTTAATTAAACCTCAAAACACTCTAATAATACCCCCATTTTATTGGTGGGGGGCAGTGGAGATACAGGGGAGCTGCGTGACTTGGCCCAGGACAAAGAGCAAGTCTGTGGCAGAGCTGGGAATAGAACTCAGAACACTCACTTCCCAACTCTTAAATCCCCTGCTCTTGCCGCTAGATTGGCTATTGTGTTTGAGTGCGGGGACTCAGCAAATCTTCATGGCAGACTCGCACGCCCTTCAGGAGGCTCATGTGTAATCCCGTTACGGGACATGCCACCCATCTGCTCGAATGTTGATATTGTCTTGAATTGGGAGAGTGAAGAGGAAGGGGAGAAATACTAGATTCATAGATTCTAGGACTGGAAGGGACCTCGAGAGGTCATCGAGTCCAGTCCCCTGCCCGCATGGCAGGACCAAATACTGTCTAGACCATCCCTGATAGACATTTATCTAACCTACTCTTAAATATCTCCAGAGATGGAGATTCCACAACCTCCCTAGGCAATTTATTCCAGTGTTTAACCACCCTGACAGTTAGGAACTTTTTCCTAATGTCCAACCTAGACCTCCCTTGCTGCAGTTTAAGCCCATTGCTTCTTGTTCTATCCTTAGAGGCTAAGGTGAACAAGTTTTCTCCCTCCTCCTTATGACACCCTTTTAGATACCTGAAAACTGCTATCATGTCCCCTCTCAGTCTTCTCTTTTCCAGACTAAACAAACCCAATTCTTTCAGCCTTCCTTCATAGGTCATGTTCTCAAGACCTTTAATCATTCTTGTTGCTCTTCTCTGGACCCTAAGTTGATGATCCAATGGGTCGACAAATACATATAGTTTGGTTCTTTCTAATATTAACACAAGGTCCCCTTCCCCATCCCTCCAAGAACAGAGACAAAAATAGATACAGTAACTGTTACCTGCCGGTGACTTCAATGTTGGAGACAGCATAGAAGTATTTGTACAAGTTCTCCCTCTGCACATAGGTGCCCCCAAGTGCCGGTCTCAGCAACCTCATCCGCAGGTCAGTCACGGTGAAGAAGTCCTTCAAACCCTTGGCGCTCTCCAGCCTGGTGTACAGGTTGTCCATGTTCCTGAGGTCCTGGCCAGCAAAGATGGCAAAGCGATCCCTCACCTCCAAACGCACGTTCTTCTCCTTCTTGGAGCCCGCCCAGCGGGAGTACTCCTCCGTGCAGATGATCCTGTTGGCACTGGTGGTAGAGAGGTCTCTGACCCGCCGGGCTGGCATGCCAAAGGCTTCCATGCAGTCATCCGCATAGTACTGGTATGGGTGCCAAGTCCTCCCATTGTCCAGGGACTTCTCCAGCATCATGATGGTGGGGCGTCCGTACTCGAAGGTCACCACAATGTCATCTGTCAGCTCAATGCTCTTGTTCCAGGAAAGTGTGATGTTAGCCAGCAGGGGTTCTGGGTAGCGGCTCCAGGTCACACTCTGCCAGTAGGTGGCCAGCCCTTCATCCTCTTTGTCAAACATCAGCTTTGGTGGGTGGGCCAGGTCAGGGGTGGACGCGTCACACTCATCGCTGCACAGGTACGGGTTCTCCTGGAAGATGAACAATAATAAGAGAAGAAGGCGAGCCTTAGTGTTGTTAAACGTGGGGCTGGGAGTGCCACCTATTATTCAGGCTGCCCACACTTCCCATGAGAACATCCTGTTTTCAGTTGCTTATAACGTTACCAAATTTTAACCCTTCAGGATGAAATTTGACATGCTGGGTATCTCTCAGGCTGAAATTTTTGGAAAATTTCAGACAAAATGGTTCAGCCATTTTCAAAATGAGGCTAAGAGAAAAGGTGGGTGTTTTGCCCATGTTAAAACACTGACTGAGACTGGATGAGACCAAGACTGGAGGAGGGGAGAGACATATCAGATGAGGAGCCAGGAAAGGAGAACTTGGACTGACAGGGCAGGAAGACTGGAACTGGGTGTAGGGGGGAGAGGGAGGATTGGGATTTAGACATAAAACTGGAGAGAGAGACTAGGACTGGCTGGTCATGGAGACTGGGATGAGAAGCCTGAGGAGTGGAGAGTGGAACTGAGACAAGGAGCCAGAGGTTGGGAAGAGACAGGACTGTGACAGGGACAAGATGGAGGGGATGGAGCAGAAAGGGTCAAGCTTGGGTGGGAATGGGCAGGCACTGGGGTCTATGCCCACTAGAGCACATTCCCTTCCAGAGCCAGGGAGGAAACCCAACATTCCTCTGCTGTCAGCAAATATCTCTGAAACTCACTGGCAAAGCGTGTGTTTCATCCCTGTGTAGTGCTGGCCCACGGAGTGGATGAGAATCCCCTATTGCTAGCATTGACTCCATTAGCTCACATGGCAAAGTTCTGTGCAGTGGAACTAAAGGTTCCAGCCCTGCTGATTAACTGTGTGGGTGTCAGTGATGTCACATGATGGAATTTGTTTATTCAGTTTGTTTTTAAAAATATAGGAAATCTCACCCACAATCTACAATAAAGGAACATTATTAAGGTTGCACTCAAAAGTTAGGAAATACCAGAATTAAGGTTGCCTGTGTAATTAAAGACTGTGTCATAATGCACGTGCCCAAGGGAGTTGAATTCACATTGCACGGGCAACCTTAATTCTGGCATTTCTTAACTTTTGAGTGCTTGACTTTGTAACTTTAGTAATATTGGTTTAATACAGCTGTGTGTAAAGAACCAGACGCTGCTGCAACCACAGAAGGACAGTAGTAGATAGAGATGGATCAAAATTATCCGATTAGCAAACTCTTCTCCTGGTAAAAGACATTTGATATTAAACTGACACTTCAGCTACTCTTTAAAACAAAAGGGGCTGGATAATTTTATTGCCTTTTAACAACACTTGCACCTATGCAAGAAGAATAACGAGGATCAATGCTATGCTTCAGACTCACTTACAAAGATCAGGTACGAATTTAGAGCACTGCACAATTGGCCAAGTGTATTGTGATGGTTTTCCCCATCTTCCTTTGAAGGAAAAAAATACATTGGCCACTAGTAGGTTGGATGGACCAGTGGCCTGATCCCATATGGTAAGGCTTATGTTCCATTGTGGTGTGTGTGTGTGTATGTGTACATCTATATATATTTATAGCATACTGGTATATAATTTAAGATATAATATAGAGCAATCATCCAACTCCCTACCCTCTCTCTATAATGAGGAATTACTTGCATTCATTACTGAAATGCAGGCACCTTTTGGATGGAATGTAGGAGTTATTTAACAATACACAGCAGCACTATATGAAAGTGTCTGATGGAAAATGAAGAAACCCACATCCAATTGAAACTGTAGGAGAAATTTAGCATTGGGTCATTCTCATATGTTGACACAACTTATGGCATTGTTCTGCTGCAGTACGCTCACAACTTAATCATCATGAAACCACGACACTTGCTGGTTTAAAGTAGAGTAAATGGTGGATTCTCTGTAACTTCAAGTTTTAAATCATGATTTGAGGACTTCAGTAACTCAGCCAGAGGTTAAGAGTTAGGTGCAGGCCACAGAACCTCAATATGCAGGAGGTCAGACTAGATGATCCCGATGGTCCCTTCTGGCCTTAAAGTCTGAGTCTAAGACAGCTAATTTATCTTACTGGGACAAACAAAAAGGTAATAGTCCTGGTACCTTGGTTTTGCTTCTCATCTGAAAGATGGCACAAACAGTAGCAAAGTGCCTCTTAACACAAGGGTAAGCCATATAAGAGGGGAAAGTGCCACTAAGGCCAGGTCTACACTAGAAACTTTTGTCTGTTTACTAATATCCTTTAGGGATGTTGTTTGTTTTAACAACATTTCTACACTAGCAAATGCCTACTGCAGACACAAGTTATACTGGTTTAAAAAAAAAAAAAAGATTTTGCCAGCATGGTTTATTTCATTTAGGGAATCTCTGTAAGCAATGCTGACAAAAGCCCTCTTTTGCCCATAAAGCTGCATCTGCACTGGGAAGGTTTTCTGCTGCAGCTTTACTAGCAAGCCTTTTCAGTGTAGACTAGGCCTCAGAGGATCACTTTCCTCTGGGTTTTCCCTAGAGAGGCTTCTTTTTTAAGTAGTGACTAGGCAGGTTCACACAGGGGACAAACATCATGGGGAACGAACATCACAGTCAAAACATAACAAGGGATATGGACAATGCAAGAGAAAACACAATATGCAAAAACAGCACCAATGAAATCACTGCAAAACAGAAACATACATGGTATAAGCATTTTGTATGGAGTGACACACAACAGTCTTGCCCCGGGAGCACTACAAGAAAAGAAAGGGGCCTGTGACAAGCACCATTCTCTTCCTGCTTCCTCCTTCTTCTAGGGGGCAGCTATTTACTGCTGGGATAGGGTAGCAGCAAATTAGGACACCCATCTCGCTGGCTCAGGTGTGGGCTGGTGTGTTTAGGGCAGGAGGAAGAGGAGCAAGGCTCTACCCACGTCCCACACACCTGTTCTGAAGGGAGGGGAGTAACGGATGCGTAGCCTGCTTACTCCTATACATCTGAACCCAAAGTCTGCATAGCCCACGCAGGGGTGTGAAGGATGTCCATATTTCACCTTATGCCCCATAATGGGTACCCAGTGCAGGGCCCAGTCTAGCTGTAGAAGATACAATAAGGTTTATTAATTCCACATTAAATGCTGTAACAGGACACGTGCAGACATAGTTTAAAGAAAAGTGAACATGCGAGAAGATGGAGGTTGGGGTGATGGGGTGCCTACCCCACAGAGGTGATGAAAGGGTTAATGTGGGCTGTAGAGGCCAATTAGTCCACCTGGTTGCACCTGGAGGGTGGGTCAGGCCTAATTAATGATGAAACCCAGCTGGGGAGGGGCTGGGTGATGCAAACAGAGGAAGTTTAAAAGAGAAGGGCGCTGCAGTGGGGGAGGGAAGCAACGCTATAGTCACTCTCCTGGTGGTAGGGTAGGAAGGGGCATAGAAGGAACAAGATGACTCTTGCAGGGTCAAGAGAGCCTAGGGAAAGGCTTAGCAGGGAAAAGAGATGGCAGTAAGCAGTTTGGTGGAGTGAGCCTTGACTGCTAGTCTTAGGGTCTCTGGACTGGAACCCAGCGAAGAAGGCAGGCCTGGGTTCTCCTACCAGCCACAGGGGAAGGTGGTGTGAAGTCCCTGATGTAAGGGGACAAGGACTTTTGAGGGCCCTGAGAAAAGGGCATATGGACCACTGGACTCAGGATTGATGGTGGCAGACTGGATGGAGGGATTAGACATTTATTTCTGTTGGACTTTCTGTTAAACTCAAAGGGTTGGACTAAAATGCAATCTGGCTGGAGGGCTGAGTCATGAAAAGAGACAGCCCACCACAGGGCTACAGCAACTGTCTGTAGGGGCTGCTAGAGAGGGGAGAATTGCTATGTCATGCCCAGCCCTGAGAGGGGCACTCTGTATGAGTTGACTCACCACTAGTTGGGTACAACCTCACAATAGTCATCAAGCAAGTCACAAAGGTAGTGACTCTCTCCCGTCTTCTCCTGTAATGAACTGTGTGTGTGTGTGTGTGTGTGTGTGATTTTTAAGCTCATTAAGATGTTCTGTCTCTTGAGATGCTCAATAAATGTCCAAATGGTAGGGGGATTGCAGCTCAGTATGGAGGAGGGGGAAGAGCAGAAGCAGATGGCTATCCTTTGGCTCCTTTGTTGGTTCTGGGAAGATCAGTTAAAGTGATATTGAAACAATTCCAGGTATTATTTCAGTATCTGTTCCCTCATGCATGCAAGGAAACCCTAGGCAGATTGTTTTGAGGATGCAAGATATTTACACTTTCAATATAAAAGGTTTAAATGAGCTGATTTGATTTCCCCCCCCACCCCCCAAGTCACATACTACCATTCATGGCTGGCTTGATTATTCTCATGGCAATCTGATGTTTCCATTTTCCTATTCTTTTGCATGCTGTATTTTGGTCACTTATTTTTTCTGTTGTGTAATGATATGATACCAACCCTGCTTAGCTTGTGAGACCACACGCCAAGGTGGCAGAGCAAACTGTAATAGCTTAATCTGAGAACAGTTTTTACATTGACCAATTAGAGGCACTCTTGTGCTATTATATCTGGAAGATCCTCTTGAGAGCCTGAACTGTCTAGAAATGGGTTAAGGTAACTTTGTTCAAATCCAGATCTGAACCTCCCCAAAGTCCAGGTGAGTTCAGATCCAAGGTTTTGCTTCAGCCCAGTATAGAGATGGAGCCTGCTGCAATGTTCAAATACTGATAAATATTTACCCCAAATGTAAGGATGTTTGGTTCCAGGGTTTGGGATCCATCTCTAAAAATTACCCCCTGGGGCTGAAAACATCACTTATGGTCTGATCCTGCAAGGTGCTGAGAAACTCTTATGTGGAGCTTAGTGCACTAGAGTTGATGGTGCTTAACACCTTGCAGAATTGAGTCCTCAGACCATAGCCATCGAGAGGGAACATGATCCAAGTTAGTGAGCGATAGGCAGATGACCTTGTGCATCAGACACGAAACTGCTTAGGAATTGAAATACCAAGAGGAGTAAGGGCATGAAGGTCAGAGAACCAGTTACAGGTTT